TCTGGTTGAATATAAATACATTATTTTGTTTCACTCTTGGAAATAAAAAGAAAATTAAGATATTTGGAATGGGAGCTTACCTGCCTGCAGTAAAACATACCCCATTGGCAGATCCAATTGTAGAAAAGGCCACAAAGAGAGGAATTATCCAGGAGGCTGGATAAAGGACTCTGTCTCCAAACGTCTGGGATATGGGATTAAAATTAATCACTTTTGTTATTTTAACTACTACTTGAAATATTAAAATGTTGGTGCCACTTCAAAAATAGACTGTATTTTTAACAATAAAATGTGCATTGTATATATTCAAGATCATTTAGCTAGATTAGAACTTGAATTAATTCATGTAAAACTCTATAAGGAAGAGAGGTATTGTCCTGGTGTTTTTGATGCAGCGTATGTAGGAAACATTGGGAGACCGATGTGGAAAAAATACAGTGAAATTCAATTCTGTTTAAGACACTTGGTTTGGGGGTGTCTGTAAAACAAAAGATATGGTTGCTGCAGAGCACTGTATACATACAACCTACAGAGAAAGAAGTTACATCTTCACTACCATTATTATTCTGAGGCATTATTATGGGTGAACACATGACGGACAAATGTGCAAAGTTTGCAGAGTTTCTGCCACCTTGTTACATTACAGTTTCTACATGATAAATTGGGTCTAATGTAGATACATTGGTCTGCTGCAAGGAAATTTAAATTAAAACTTGGACAGGAGGGGCGTCTTGGATTTTAACAGTTGATTAACTTTTAAGTCAAGCATAAAGAGTTCTACTTCTGCTCAAGTTTACTATCAAAGTATAGTTGCTTTATCCAGTAGCAGGGTACTCATCAACATTGAGCAACAAAGCTGCTTTTAGAGATATGTTCATACACAGCACTCATTCTGCTGTTTGCTGTGTTACTTTCGTACTGCCCAGTAGCAGTTGGGATTCTCTTCGTCTCATCACTTCGTAGCTAGTTCTGTGCTAGCTTACATAGGTGGTGATCTTTATCAGCATTGTACTTTGGATTAGGTACTGCACCTCTTGGTGGAGGAAAAACAAAGATAACTAAATTCATCAAAATTATGTTTTATAAGATCTTCATGTGATTGAGAATTTTTATGTTTTATGTACCTCTTAATTGTGTTACACTGCCTTCTGTATGCATATGAGATGCTCTTTGTTTTTACATAAAACCAACAATGAAAAATTGCTGTAAGGCACTGATCAGTGGTTTGGGAGATGGATCCCCTGGAAAACATAATGAGTGGAACTGGAGGGACCGATGTATTTATATACATTTCTAAAATCTTAAGAATAATGTTTACGAAACTTTGTCGATAGTATGTCTTGCAGAAATGAAAAAATGATTACCCTTAATCATTTTAAGTTAAAATTAGACCTAATGAGGAAGTGACCTACAGCTGACTGCGACCTTCAGAATGATAAGGTCTAATCTACTCCTTTTGCATGTACTTGTTTCTTTGAACTACTGGAAAACTGGCAAGGACAAAGTAGCAGTTATTTTTCCTTATACTTCTTATTGCTTATGGGGGGAAAAAAACAGCTGCTGAGCTGTAGCCTTTACAGAATGTTACCTCAGAGACTGCATTACTTTTGCTTGCATTTTTTTTCTTGAGATATGATGAAGCATTTTAACTTAGTCATTGTAGATTTTTTTTTTTATTAAGAAGATAACGGGAGTTGGGGAATAAGGTGTGAGGCTGACTGTTCACAACTAAATTCTATAATTCTATCTAAAATTTATGTGTTGCTTTTTATTTATTTTTTACTGCAGAAGAAGCTCTAATGCACACAGCCTTCTTCAAATGCTTTTTTTTTTTTTCTTTTTTTACAAAATAAGGAGACTTACCACAGCAACTGCCTGGGACTGCAGGAGTTCTGTTGGAGTCATTATGGTGAAATATGAAATGTTTATCAAAATGTAACAAACTGTAACCAGGGGGATTCCAATAATTATAGATAGTGGTAGGTTTCTAAAGAATGCAAAAGTAAGACTTCATTAGCATTGCTGTGTCATTGGCAATGTTACTGCAGTAAACTGGACTCTTTTTCCCCGGGTACTCTTCAGGTATGTTTACGTTCCTTTACTGTAGAGCAACAGAAATCTGGATTAAAAAAAGAAACCACGTTTATGAAAGCCAGAATATATGATAGCTCTTTGTCTGTTAGTACTCAAAGTTTGAGTAAGCATTCCTTTTGAAGTCAAGCCAAAATATGTGCTTGCTTGTATAAAAATTGAGTTTTATTTTTATTGATAGCAATAAAATTTTTTTTTTTTTTTTTTTTTTTTTTTTTTTTTTTACCTGTAAGGATTCTTCAGTTCTTCTGTGATATAATTGAGTTGATTCCTGGAAATAAAGACATTAATTAGATTCAAATGTTACTTCCTCTTACTGTTTGCCTTTCCAGTTTAAAAAAAAAAAAAAGTAAAACTGCTGGTCAAAAAAAAGTATGAGTTTCTTATCCAACTGTGAGCCTCAAGTAACTAACTTTTTCCTCCTTCAAGTTTTGATGCATCCTGCAATTTCAGAAGCGTCTGTATAATTTTGAATTAGATTGTCTTAGCTCCTAGGTAGAATGTCCTGGAATAACCAGAAGCTTCCTTTGAGCTTCAACCTTTGTAATATCTAAATCTTTCCAAGTAAAAGCACTGTTTGGCTGTACCCATTGCAAGGACACAAGTTCAAGTCTACTGATCTTTAACAATATCTCTTTAAGTTATATTGTAAACACCTTAAAGTGGAGTTTACAGTTTCAGGTACATGTTTGCAGTAGACCACAGACAAGATTAAAACATTTTATTTTTTCTTTTACACTTCTGCTTCTGAAAACATGAGAGGAAATTCATACTTATAGTTTGCCCGGCAGCTTTTGAAATTTCAGTCTCTGATGGTTTTTGAAGTAATTATTCAGGATTTAGGCAGTAGCCTTCCCTATCCTCCCCCCGCAAAAAAGTCTAGGTAAGTATCTGAAATACAGATGTGCATGCTTGAGTTGAGAGCCTCAAGCTTGAAAAGAGAACCTTAAAGAGTAATCAATTTAAATCTGGACTGATATTTTGTCTGAATTTGATTTATTTATTTATTTATTTTGACTTTGATTTTTTTTATCTTAGATTTGTATCAGCAGAGCCTCAAGCCAGTTCACTTTCCTGTTAGTTCCAGGAAGTGAAATGTATATTTTCTGTACTGTAGCAGAGATTATATTATAGAGATTATCTATATTCCTCAGGTAAATAAGGTTATTCTGATGAAAGTAATAGAGGAAAAGTAGTCTTCTGAGTTACTGAATATGGATGCTTCATTTAAAACATGAATGTAAACCTAACACCTTCCGTATTTATGATTATTGTCAAACATATTTTCTTTGTATTAGCACAATAGATAACAACAAAACAGATGAGATATACACTGGGAGCTTCAGGGAAGGAATTGTTGCTATGATAATTCCAAGAAAAGGTGTAAAACCATGTGAATTAAAACTTCTGATATTTACATTTTCTTGTACTAATTGAACGTTTCATAAAACATGGACTTTGGGGGTAACCTGTAGAGCTTTTGCCTGAGCCTAATGGAATTAGCTGTTTTGATGTCTCTCTCATTACCACAGTATCTAACCACCTTTACACCAAATCGGTAGTCTTATCAGGATCTACTGTAAAATTTTTCCCTAACAAACAGTGACCTGTGGGTTTTTTAAATTCAGGATACTGTTTTTTGTGCACAGTTCATTATGAGATTATTTATGAAAATTTAGATGTTAACTTACATCTTTTGAGTTCTAATGGAGGAGAGAGTTAAAGGCTGTTAAACTGTAACTGTTAACACCGGTAAAGATACCTTACCATCCATCATATGCCCAGAGTCCATTGTAGAATGCCAAACCAATAGAGCTAATAGAAATTTTACTGTCCTTGAAAGAATCTTGAAAGTTTTGGGTTTTTCCTGGAAATAAGACAAATACTAGTGACACAGTGTTGTAATTTGGCTAATCGCCACTAGATGAAGAAAAACTCCAGCATCTCCTGCGTCTTTTGAAACATCTTGTTAAAAATCAATTAATAGAATTTTTATGAACTTACTGGCAGTATTGAAATTCTTACCCCACTTCCTCTTAAAGAAAGTACTGTAGTTTTGAAGAGTCTTTGGGAAAGCAACACTGAAGAAAGATAGCCTTATTTTTGTGCCATTTTTTGTCAGTAGGAAATTCTTAAAGATCACAGCAGAAACTAAAATAATTGTTGGAAGTGAATGTATGTTTGATTACCTTGTGCAAGGAGAACAATCCCACTTATGGCAATGATTGCCACAACTATCATTTTAGCAGCTGTGAGAAAATTCTGGAGATAACTTCCCAGCTTCACACTCAGTGAATTCACTATTGTAATTACCACTAAAAGAAATAAAACATGTTTTGCATTAAATTTGTCAGAGCCGAGAGAAAAGTAAGTTTGAGCATTTTTTCCCTTCCTCCCTTTAATGCTTTTTCCTCATAGGCTATATATGTAACTCACAATTTTTAACGTGAATGGTTGATTTAAAATAGCAAGGAAAAAGTTACTGAATTGGGTATCTACCTTTAACAACAACAAAATTATGTACATAGAACTGCATTGCATTATGATAATACAGAAATACCTTTGGTAACATTTTTTCTTCCTTTTCTGCTACAAATAAGTGTTTGTTTTATGGCTGTATTTTTCTTGGTGAAGAAGAAACCTAGGCTGGAAGCAAACCATCTATTTTGCGTATTGAGTCAGTGAGTCCTTCCCACAGTTACTACCGTATTGTTCCAAAATTAAAATACATTGCTATTAGTAGTTTAAAAATAATGAATAAAAATTAATATATTGGTCCAAAATAAAACACTGTTCCACAGTTCTGTTCCTTTTAGTGTAGCATTACTTCCTGCTGACCTCATAAGGATTAATGTACTGAATTCTTACTGTGCTGAAATAGATGAGGATAAGCAGAATTTGCTTTGCAATTATGGAATTTGCCACTTATAAAATAATAAAAAAATCTTACCAATGGCAGCTGCTGCAAGGCACTTGATGACTACTTGAGGTGGATCACAACCTGGATAAAAGGGAGCTGATGCATATTCTGCAAAGCTGAGACATACGATAGCGAAAGAACTGGGTTTCATGACAAGCAGGCTCGCCCAAGAAAACAGAAATGCTGGTATTGGGCCAAAGGCCTCCATAAGGTAAGGATATTCTCCTCCTGATTTTGTGATCGTTGTACCAAGTTCAGCAAAACAAAGTGCACCTGAGCAGCAAGAAATACAGTTGTTATTTTTTTTGTTTGGTTTATACCTATCTTAAACTATTGGCTGTTGATAGATAGTGCAATTGCAGAAGTAGATGTATGTAATGTATCCTTAATTCTTTCATGTTCGTGTACATTTGACTGTGCACATCAGATTTTTAATTGTGAATTGTGAGGATGTGTGTGAGTTTGGGTAAAACACTGAAACTTCAGTGACAATCTAGAATTTACTGTTAGTTGCATTTAAGACTCGTAGATCAAGTATAAAGGTTCTGATTTCATTAAGAGCCAACGCTTAACATCAGATGACAACTGCAATAAGTTGATGTACTTTTTAGAAACCTATGGGGAAAAAGATCTTGTTGCACAATTTTGAAGAAAAATGTCTACTGAGCTCATCTTTAAAGTACAATGGCACTTTCAGTTTCATTGTGGTAGTTGGTATTTTACTCAGAAATGGTGGTTTTTATGCTCTGTATCTGACATAACGAACACTTAATTCCTTCTTTTCCTAATTGAAATATTCTGAGGTGCTTAGTACTAAATTTTGTATGAGAAACTTAGACTTACACAACTATAAAAAAACCAGTAGGAATACCAGGCTGCTGCTGATAGGTCTTGCATAGTATTTTGCCTGTGACTTAAGTAGGTGTTCTCTTCATTACAATTAGTGAATAAAGTGAGTAAAACTTAAATCCTGCTTCAAGAAATAAGCTGAAAACGTTCTTTATGATTTTAATAGCTTAATCTGTTGTTTATAAACAACACATTTATTGCAGTCATCAGAGTATTACTGATGTTAATCTAGGTGCTATTACCTAATTTCTGAAATGAATTATATGCAGACACAGAGTAGTAAATTAAATGATTTAAGCAAAAATTCAAACTTGTTGCATGGACTCCGTTTACCTAGTGTTGCGAGAACTCCACAGACTGCCCAGATGGTTAAACAAGGACCCACTGCTCCAACATTGGCAAGTACTGATTTTGGAGAAACAAAGATACCTGAACCAATAATTGTGCCAACGATCATACAGATTCCACTAATCAGGCCCACCTTGAAACAGAAGGAGACGTTTTGGTGAAGGAATTTCTAATAACTACTTTTCAGTTTAATATAACAATAGTAATTGACATCAGTGATTTATTGTTGTTGCTTTCAACTTGAGGTTTCAACTAACTAGTAAACTGGAATTTTTTTTCTTCCAAATACCTACGTGGCCTGTGGCATGCCAGCTTGCATATTTGTTTTCATAAACCGTACTTTGAATTATGTGGGTCTCAAAATCAACTTTGTACAAATGAGCAATTATCTGTATTTGACTTAACTGTCACATTTTGGTGAAGACTTGAATTCTGAATTTTTATAACTTCTAAGACGTGCCTTCTTGGAGGGATTCTGTCCTTCTTTAAGCAATTGCTCTACTCTCCTTGCTTCAGGTATTTTCTGCACAGAAATTACCTTAATATCGATACATGATGAAAAGATCACGTTCTCCAGACCTTGTAGTGATCTGCGTATTAGATGAATCTAATAAAACTTCAGCCTTAAAAGTCAAGGGCATGGGCATCTTAAATTCTCCTTAAGTTACAGCTAGTCTAGTAGCATCAGTATTTTGCCAGTCCAGAATCTTAGCACCTAAGTGAAGCTATGCAGAGTATAATTTTCCAGGTTGCTTAAACTGAAAGATAAATTACACTTCCCTTTGTGAGTCTTGTCAGAGGTAAAAGTGGCATATCTTCTCTGTAAAAGCATCTATCACTTTCTGGAGAAGAAAAATTACTATTTGTCTTCCTGTGCAATTAGCTTTTTAATGGACATATACACTAACAAATTTGCAGAAGCAGTGAGCTGAACCAACCCTATTCAGCCTCTGAGGAGAATTAGTGAAGTTCATAACATTATGCTGAGCTGAGCAATTCTGAAGTAGAAAATACTAAAAAAAAAATAATTTAAAGACTTGAAAATTATATGTTCTTTCTTTTAATGGTGCTTATATCAGAGCTGTGTACATAGTTAATGAGTTCATAAAATGTAATTCAACCACATCATGAAGAAACCAGTACGCTGTTGCAAGTAAGAGCAGTTTCAACTTCAGTGTGATAATGCATAGTCACAAATACATTCTTACTGCCTCCCCGTGCCAGCCCTTCACATGCACATATTAAGGAGTGGGTGTTGGCATTTACCTCTTTTTTTAGGTTCATAGCTTGGGGTTCCTGACTTTGAATGGATTGTCCATCCTCTGTTCTGTTGTCCTGTTCTTTTCTTTTCCTCAAGCTTCCTTCACCCATTTGATTTACTTGTTGAAATATCTGAATAAATTAAAGGACAAAAAATCAGTGTAGTCTCTCTCTTTTGAATGCCTCTAGGAGACCAGGCTGATTTAATCTTTCACCTAGAACCAGCTGCTTTTCTTACTGCAGAGACAATTCCTGATCTTTGTTAAATTAGGCCTTTTCCTGATTTCTTGGAGATGCAAGTATGTTAGACCAGGTGTCATTTCCTGTGACTAAATAGCAGCTCTTTGCTTCAGAAAGTGTTGCTGTTCTGTGTTGACTTAGGGTGAATGTCTTCTACTGAACGTTATATTCTGTTTAGAATTAGACTGTGAACAATTTGACTTCAAAAAAATTAATTTTAGACTTGTGAATGTAGTATTTTCTTGGGAATTTTGTTTGTTTCACACAGTATTAGAATAAAATCCAACCTGAAGTAATGATGGAAATGGAGGTTAAAATAGACTAGTCCCAATTCCCGCTGTTGATTCAGTCAATCTTCTCTCCTTAGACTCTCCACCTGTAGTTGTTAGAACCTGAACCTTGAAGATTGTTTGGCAGCTGAAGAGACAATAATTCAGGTATGCTTCGTGTTCAGACAATTCAGCTGATATCCACTACTTGGCTTCTTTTATAGCCTTTTAAATTGATGGAATATCCATCTCGGTACTGTTGGTCTTCAGAAATGTTTCTGTTATAGAGAAACCTGGTTTATGACTTAAAGATTTTAATAATCAACATAATCCAACTTAAGATTCAAGCTATAATGGAAAACTGCCCATGTAAGGAATGTAGGGCTTGGGTCACTGAACTCTTACAGCTTTGTGCCCATTGTTTCTCTTTAAAGTTTTTTGTCTAGAATATGTTGTCATCTTCTAGTAATTCATAGTGTCACTTACCTTATTTGTATTTCCTTGGTGTACTTCAGGGATCCAGGGAGCTCTGTATAGTGTTTCTCTTTTCTCCCGTTAGATTTACCAGCCAGTTAGAGAGCAACACAGAAACCAGAATATGCAGAAGCAACAGCAGCTTAAGTACAGAGGTTATAAAAGGTAATCATTAAACCTGTTCTCAGACAAGAAGCTTTGAGATGGGAACCACAGGTAAACCAATAGTCCAATTAGTTTATCTTTAAAACAAAAAGGTTTTTTTTCCATTTGTTAAGAATGTTTGTTCAGTACCTAAGCGTTTTATTATATAATGAGAGGAAATCATAATTTAGGTGGATTTTAATTTCATGTCATGATATTTCTGCTTTAGAAACTGTGGAAGATAAACTTGAAGTAATTGTTGTAGTGTGGATGTGTTTAAAAGCATCTGTCCAGATGTGAAGTGCATCCCATACAAACAGCTTGTTTCATCTTGAGGAAATGAAAAAGTGTGAGCAGAAATCTCTCATTTGTTTTTCATTAACCTGAAGACAGCTGAGCGGGCACCTTGTGTTCCTTTCATCTGCATTTCAAGTTTTCATTTTTGTAGATGTTTAAAAATCTTGCTTTAGGGGTAGAAAACCTGTCTCAATTTCTGTACACCTATATATCCAGGAAAACATTGCTAATACTGTCTGCTGAAACAAGGTAGCTTCATTCGTGGTAGTCATCCCGAAACTACTAGCAAAAAAACCTGCATGTTTCACATCATTTTTAGTAATGCAAGCTGTAAGTCCTAATTAAGTCAAATGTGAACCAACTTTTTTATTTCTACTGTTGAACTAACAGACTTCAATGTGATTAATACATTTTAAGACTTACTGTTATGGCAGTGCCTCAAGAAAAACAGTAGTACAGGATTGGAGATAAGTCCACGTTGTTGGATCTAAATATCAAAACTAGTCAAGAGTTGAGGTTGTCTGTATGTTGCTAACACAAAAACTAATCATGACGTGGAATGAGAGAAGCAAACTTTAGCATTCTGTCCCAGCTGTATGCTGGCATGTTGACAGCCTTTTTTTTTTTTTCCCTTTTATTATTCTGTTTAAGCATGCAGTCTTGATCAACAGAAATTCCTGGCTTTTGCAATGTTAATATAAATCTGTGATTAAAAAAATAGACTGAAGAAAATGTGAGACAACCCTATACTGGTTTATGTCTGTCATGTTTTGTTATGGTAGAGCCAGTCTGTGCAGCATCCATTTTTCTGAGGCTGAATCGCAGAATCATAGGAGTTGGAAGGAAGCTCTGGAGATCATTGAGTCTAACCCATCTGCTAAAGCAAGTTACCTGGAGGAGGTTGCACAGGAAAGAGTCCTAGTGCATTTTTTAGTATCTCCAGATACTCCACAACCTCTCTGGGCAGCCTGTTCCAGTACTGCGTAACCCTCAAAGTGAAGAGATTATCCCTCGTGTAAATATGTGTTCGAGTTTGTTCCCATTGCCCCTTGTCTTGCTGCTAAACACAGCTGAAAAGAACCTGGGCCCCATCCACTCAACATCTGTCTTTTAAATATTCATAAGCATTAAGAAGATCACCTCTTCATCTTCTCCATACTGAACAGACTCTGGTCTTTCAATCTTCCCTCACAAGGGAGTTGCTTCAGGCCCCAGTCATCTTTGTGGCCTTTTGCTGGGCTCTCTATAGAAGTTCTGTGCACTTCTTAAACAGAGGAGCCCAGAACTGGACACCGTACTCTGGATGTGGCCTCAGCAGAGCAGAGCAGAAGGGGAGGATCACCTCTGTCATCTTGCTGGCTCTTTTGAATGTATCCCAGAATACCACTAGCTTTCTTGGCCACAAGGGTACACTGCTGGCTCCTGGCCAGTCTGTTGCACACCAGGGCATCCAGGCCTTCTCTGGAGAGCTCCTCTCCAACAGGTCAGCTCCTAGACTGTACTGTTGCACATAGTTACTCCTCCCTAGGTGTAGGATGCTGCACTTACCATTGATGAACATCATCTGATTCCTTTGCATGTCCAGCCTGTCCAGGTCACACTGAATGGCAACAGTGCCTTCTGGTATGTCAGCCACTCCTCAAAGTTTCACATTATCAGCAAACTTGCTGAGGGTGTACTCTGTCCCTTCATCTAGTTCACTGATGAGGATGGGATTGCAAAATATCAGTACTGAAATCAAAGCTGTAGCTGCATTTTTGCAGCTATCAATTTTATTTGCTCACTTTATTTTGGTAAGAATTAAAAGCAGGGTTAAACTTCAGGAAAAGCTTTTTCATTGTAACCAACTTGTTCAAAAGTCACCATCTGAACAGCAGAGTTGTGTGCTGTTTTTGTTTGTTTTACCAACAGAGAATAAAGAATATTAAAGTCAGAATCTTACTTCAAGCGGATGAAAAGTCAGGCATCAACAATTTACTCCTTTTTCTGCATCTGTTATAAAGACTGAAAAATTTATCTTCGTTATTGTGATTCACTGATGTTTCTACATCTATCAATTGTATATTCCTAGCTTTGTATTGAATATTATATAATGTATTCCTGAGTTCTGCAGTGTATTTAGAGTGAGTAATCTTTGAATTTTACATGCATTTAGATGTTCTGCATCCCTCAATGTTCTCAGATTTTTTTCTGCATCACACTTAGCCTTTATTTTGTTTGTTCAGATACAGTACAGGCAACATTAAATATCTGTTAATTTTTCACTGAGCAATCAATTTATTGAATCAGTATTAAGTAAGCATTTGGAAAGTTCTCATTTATTGAATGGACGTGTTACATTTCTGCGAGTAGCTTGATTTGAGTTAGCCTGTTTACTTATAAAAATGGAGTATATTCATTTGTTATCTATTTTTATTTTAAGGGTTAATCTTCAGATGGTATAGAGCTGTTAAAGGACTTTTACCAGCAATCCTTTTCTGAACCATTTAAAATTAAAAGAAAAACAGCAGCAAAACACAACACTGAGTTCAAGAATTATACTGATTTTTTTTTTTTTTTCTTTTTTCTTTCATTCTACAGCAATGGGGGAAGACTCTTTCCCTCTCAACTGTATATGTATGAAGAGATCAAGGGGTTCAAATTTCAAGGGACTTCAGAATGAAGCACTCTGTGGGCTAGTCCTGTCAGTGTAGTTTGAACCTTTTCAAATACTGTTTACTAATCATATCATAAGAAGTAATTTTCAACTTGAATTCAGGAAACAGCAAGAAAACAGCATATACATTTAGCTTTTATTACCATTATCACTAATAATAAAGGTTAATGTTTGTTGGGGCTGGTATTTATTGCTTGCAGTACTGCACGTATTCTTTTCTGGACTGGCAGTTCTTAAATGGATGGTAATGACTGTTCTAACTTGGAGGTTTTACTTGTAGCTTAGTGGTATCTCAGAATAGATACTTTCCATTCTTACCTTGCTGCCTAACAGGTTACTTCATTTTTATCAGAGGAATAGTGTGTTTACTTGCACTTGCTCTTCTTTGACTCCTGCTGTTAACAGATGTGCTCTAAGAAGTTATCTCACTTCTGTTGATCTTAAGTGCATTTCGTTTTTCTCATGAGAAATTCCAGGTATGTTTTTGTGGAATGTAAGAAAACAATTTTTCTGAATAGTTGTGTCAAGTAGGTCATGCTCATGGTTTCAAGTTCCTTGTGTCTTGTGGCAGTCAGTTGTACTGGCTGGCCATACACTGCTGTGCTTTGACTTGTGGCTAGAACAGTTCTGATGTCACAGCAGCGTTCTGGCTAGTGCTGAGCAGTGCAGCATGGAGGTTGGGGTGGGCAGGAGATGCAGTGAGGACACAGCCAGGACAGCCAACCAAAACAGAGGGATATCCAACACTTATTTGGTATTCTACTCAGCAATAACAACTGGGAACTGGGGGGTCCTCTTGTTAGACAGTTATTTGTCTTCCTGAGAAACTGCTGTGCTTTCTGAGGCCTTGCTTCCTAAGAAGTAACTAAACATTGGCAAAACATTGCTTGCTGATGGGAAGCAGAGAATAACTTGCTTCTCTTTGCTTCCATATGCAGCCTTTGCATTTTTTTTTCCCCTTTCATAAAGCTCCACCTTATTTCAACCCATCAGTGTGTTTTTTTAATATTTTCTTTCCCTGCTTTGTTGAGCTGGGGGAGTAAGAGTGGATTGTTGGACCTTAGCTGCCCACTGACTGTCATACTATTATGTAAATAGGAAAGATTAGATGAGTGTGTTTTTTTTTATTGCCCATAGTATATATATTTTTTGAAATAAATATTTTTCCCCCTTTGTTTTTGCTCACAGTATATTTGTTTGGGCACCTGTGACAAAGTAGGAAAAGGAATAAGGCTGCTGGAGAAGTCTTCAGGTTTGCTAATGGTAGTAGATCTACTTCAGTAGTTATTCTGACAAATCACTATAATGAGGTGGATAAAAATGTCTCCCAGATCTGTTGTATTTTTTTCCTTTTTTTTCCCCTCATGCAGGGAGGTAAACAACATCTTTCAGAGCAGGTATAACAAGATAAGCCACAAGAAGTCGTCTGATTCAGTAATTATTTGAATAATTTAGAAGGGTTTTAATCATCTCAGTATGCAGATGTTTTTTATTGCCATGAGGATTCTTCATTAGTTTCAAAATCAGAATTTAAAGTTCTCTCAAATAATAATCACTTCCTGTCTGTGCCAAAATTTAGGCTGTATCTTAACCACTAGAAATAAGTCAGAAATGCTGTGTGTTCTGTTTAGGAACCAAGGTGGGGTTGGTTTTTTTGTTTTTGTTTTGTTTTTTTTTTTTATGTTTACAGTACTTAATCTGAGTTTAAATTTATCAAAACCAAATATTTGGTATGTAAAACAACTTTAAAATACTACAGTATATCTTTAGAGAGTAGAGATGTGTTGAAATTGAGTACAAGAAAAAAACTCTACAGGTGTCGGTGCGAAACTACATTTTTAAAGACAGAAGTCCTCAAAATGCATCTTTTCTATATTCTAGCTGATTGTCAGTGTAAATTTATTATTTATTTCCATTATATTTGCAGAGCAGGATGAGTGCACAGAGCTATTACAAATGTCAAAACTGATTTTTTCTAGACAAGGATTTGTAATCCCAATGGAGAAACACTTGGGACGCCTGATTCTGTTTGCCCGTATAATTGCATGAATTTCTTATGGCTTAAGAATGCTAGAAGGTTCTCTCTTCTGAGTTGTTGAAGGCCAGTGTTCAAGCTAGAAAGATGCAGCTCCTTCTATACTAAAAAGTGCATGAAGGGGAAAGGTCAGCAGCTGGGTATAATTCTCTTCTGAATGTGCTGTTATTTGGGGAAATAATTTGACCTGTATGTAACTTATTGCACACTTTCTGGTAATCATTACAAAGAAAAATTGAAAAACCTGTGTCTGCTGTTTCACCTCAACTTAATGATAAGCATAAGGGAATCTGAAATCAGCTTCTATAGATAACGTTGTTGTCATAGGCTATAAATTAGAGAATGAATCACCAGCAGAGCATAGGACATAAGGCATACTTTTCTTAGCCAGTCTGAGTAGTAGAATCTTTCCAGTATCTCTGCAGCTCACCTCTGAAAACCTTATTTTATTAGTATTTTGAAGATGCATCTGTCTTGCTTGAGTTTATTCCATACTCAACAGAGTTTTGTTTGTTCTTAGGTGGTGGTGGTGGTAACCTTTCAAGTTAAAATCTAGTATGCTTAGTTGTTACGAACAGAATATGGTCTGTAAATGAAGCAATGAAACTAACATGACCACAGGAGTACAAATTCTGAATTGTTATCTCTGTTTCTTGGTAAGAAATGAAGTACTTTCCCCTGTTTTTATTTTATTTTGTAAAAGGAAGTTGTAGCAGTGCTTAATGAGTTCATTTTACAGTCAGCAAGCTGTAAGAAGGAGAGCACTTAAAGTCAGTATGCTCTGTCAAGCACTGGTTGGGGTAAAGTAGTAGCTAATGTCAGTGCATAACAAAAATAAATGGTCAGGGGTAAAGCTTTTGTAGTGCAATATAACATCTTTTCTGTATCATTTGTTTATAGTAGTATATGTGTATAGTAACTAGTAGACAATGCAAAGACAAATGGCTAACTAAAAAGACTTTTATGCTTGTGTATGGGACAAATTCATTCACTCAAGGATGCAAAATTTCAATGCATTCACATTTGGGTGACTGATTCTAATTAAAAGGTTATTTTCTCAGAATAGGTAGTTGATCTTCACTTCAAAGATGCATGAAAACTGTGTTGCTTATGCAAATAGGAAAGAGTACTTTGTATTACTGTAATGCCTAGCATTAGCAGCCATGGCCCTGCACTTCTGAAAGAATGAGCTGCAGTAAGTATGCGTTTATCAGTCAAGCTAAATCTGGCTTTATTTCTAAAAATAATTAGCCAAGTGGATGAGGAGTATCAATTTTATAAGGCTTTTATTGATGTGTCTCATGATATTCTCACCAGAATGTTGGAGTGGCAAAGTCTAGAAAGTATGTTTAAAACTAACAGAGTACATGAAAACTAATTGGCAAAAAATGTAGGAAGAAAGAAGCAGTGACTCGCTGTCAGGCTGGGAGAAGGGTTTTTTGGTCAGAATTTGTCCTGATTCTGTCAGCAAGAATGATGCTTGTTCTGCAGTGCTTGTCATCAAAGTCTTAAATTGATGCTTGTTAGGTTAAAGAGTACATTGAATGGATGGTTAATAAAATTTCATTCAGAGAGGAAAGTAATAATCCTTTCTCAGTTTCATGATGTGTATGAATAGATTTCTTGCACTTAAAACTGAAGCAGGAAACATTAATACATGTTTTCTTTCCAACAATATTTTCCCATGTTTCTAGACTTGTTTTGTGGTATTAAAACTAATCCCAGTACAGGCAAGAATCTGAACCAAATGTGCCATACCAAAAAAAAGCTTCATAACTGTTTGAATCATGAGGAATGTTCTTGGTTGCTTGGTTATTAAACGTCTCAGAGTGTATGTTTTCTTGTTTCTTTCCTGTTTTGTTCTGTCTTCTTAAAGAGCATGTGTTTAAACAGTGAGCAGGATTCACAGCATGTGCTTTGGTATGTACAAAGTGATCTCTGTGCAAATCATACAAGCTGGAGAAGTTCAGTTTTCAGAGATTTATAATATCCATAAAATGTCCACGAAGTATGTGGTAATAGTTAGAATTAAGAGAACAGATTGAATGAACATGTATGATAAAAGCTCTGCAACCTCTGCTAGTGGCTCAAGATTTTGAGGGTAAGATAGTTGTTTCACAGTTCAAAAGATTTTGCCTTCCACACTTCTTCCCAGTGCTGCTTTCTTTCATGAACTTCATCCCATTGCTTAGTTTGGTGTGGTTCAAAGGTTGCTGAAGTAATTATTTCTATCCTTGATGTTGACAGAAAAGTGAAGAATGATTACAAGTTTTGCTTCTTCCTTTGTTTTTTGAATGCTAGTTAAAGACCTGAAACTTCGTATTTCCCTAAAGCTCCTTCCAAAGAGGAATGGAAGTAACTTTTGTCAGATGTAAGCAAGCTTCTTTGTGATTTAACACAATTGCTTTTTTGTTTGTAGAAGCAGAGATAGAAACAATTAAACTGGTCACTTTAAACTACTGGATAATATTAGGAAGTTCAAAAAAATTACAGTGGGGAGGAACTATCTTTTTCACTCAGAGGAGAAAAGGTGAGATAAGCAGATTCTGGTAGTTAATTGGGAGGGTCCTGTAATCATGTCTAATACAGTGAGAGGTAACATCTTTGAATTTGTAATGTGTAGAGAATTACAGGTTGCTAAACTGTTCAGGTTTTATTCTTTTGCGTAATTTATTTTCATTAAAGTGTTCTTTGTTTGTTTGTTTAACCACTTACTCTGCTGAAGTAAGGTGAATGTGGACCTCCTATTCTATTGATGCAGCTTAACATTGAAGATGAAAAGAACAGACCCGTGCTTATTTTGAAAGTGGTACCCTTCTTTTCACCTTCAGTGTTCAGACCACAAATATTCTTCTTAATATAATGTTGATACTACTTTAAATAGAAGAACAACAGGCAGTTACTTTTTATTGATCCTTGTTCAAGTCTTATTCTATCTTGTCCTGTTTGCTTCTGACTTGCATAGTATCTCTTTCTCTCTTTCCTATCTTCCTGTTGACTACTACAACAGAAAAAGAAGAGTCACAGTCACTTCAAGCATGAGGTAGCAGTTATCAGGATTCCAAGTCTGACACAGCTTTAACTGAACATTCTGGCAGTACCTCTTCCCAGTGCCCAGGGGTTGCAAAGACCTGATTTCCATACAGTTTCAAGTAAATTAATTAGGTAAGAAAAACAATGTTAAAGAATGTGTGCGTGCTTTGGAAGAGTGGACGCCATACGATCATTTACAAGTTAATAAGGCCAGGTACCCATTCCTGGCAGTGATGGACTGTGTAAGTAACTTTTCTGACTGCCACAACTGATGCTATGGTGGTGCCACAGCAATGACAATCGCAGTATTGCTTCAGAAGTCAGAGATGGAGACGACTACTAGCTTTTGGCCAAGAGGAACATTCCTTTTGCAAGATAAACTTCTTTGTCATATCTTTCAAATGCTAATACTGGTTTCTGCTACACAGTTTTTTTTAATTGCGTGTTTAATACAGTTGTAAAATGAAAGCAGTAAGGAAGCTAGTCACATCTGACAGTTGAAATGGAGTGTAATATGATGTTGTACAGTCGTCATGTGAAGTTCCTGGTTGCCGTTTCTCAGAACTGCTGATCCTGCATTCTTCTACTATTATTCCACACCACTGTGAGATACATTTCTCTCTTAACTCATCTGCCTGTCAGTGCTTTGTTTATAATTGGTTGGTTTTATGCTGCTTTCCTAAATTAAGTTTCAGAAACACTGTATTTTATCACTCACTTGACTAGAATGTCATGTCAATTATGTTGCAGTGTATGCTTCTCAGCAGTAGTGCCTAACTCCATGGTTATCGTGGTGTAAAAATGTTGTTAAAGTCCATTGTTATGGGAATTAATGAAAAATGAAGAGGAATGTTTTCTAACAGCTTCAGAAGGATGGATCTTGTGTTTCTATGATAGCATGTATTTGTAAAGAAACAAAAGCTTTCAATTCTCCACATGGTAACCTAAATCTTACCTAACCCATCTTTCTGATTTCAAATGGAACCAAAGTATTCTGTTACTTCTTTTAGTGACCAGGGTTGAATCAAGGCTTCTACTGGCTAAATGCCTGTATTCTGTGACAGTGTATGAAAAAAAGTATGTTCCACATACAGAAAGCATGTGAAATAAAAAGACCTTGTACTGGAATAGTAAAGTTCAGTCTGTCCTACTTATTATTCAATGTCTGTGCTTTTTATGTTGCATTTTTTTCTTGTTCTAGATGGGTTCATGTACCTAATCCAAGTTGCAATAAAATGTAACTTAGCAACTGTGTTTATAGATACATTAACCTGAAGACAGACTGAAGGATCTGTATTTTCCAGAGGTAGGGAAAAAAAGCAGTTTTATTGAACATACAAGTATGTGCATATATGCAAGTATATTAAGAAAAACTGTACATAGTCTTGGTAACTAAAAGAATGAAGTTTATTTTGGGCAACTTCAATCACCATTCTTAAGTATTACCAAAACTTTTGCCGGATCAGCTGGTTATAAACCTGCCTAGGTGCTACCTCAGCTGATAGCAGATAACGCCCTAGTGACACTACTGTATTGCATGATAAATGGATTAAACAGTGATAAGAGGGACTGTATTTGGAAAGCTTTGAAAATCCAATGTGCACGAACTTTTATCACTAAATAACCTTTCACTTTTATTACACCAATTTTCAAATACCATGTAACTACATTTCATTTGATTTGTAATTAGAAGTTGTAAAAGTACTTCAAGTTTCTTAACAGTATTTGTTGTCCGCATTCAGAGTTCATCCACCTTGGGTGATGTTTACAAGCAGTTGACCTTGGTGTTGTGTGTGCACGGGGAGCGTGTTTTACAAATTAAAAATCTTCTAACTTCTAAAACTTTTTTTTTTTTTTAAATAGTGGTAAATTCTCAGTACAGATTCCTCGCGGTTTTACTTTACTATGAAAGAAAATGTCTCAAGAAAGCAGGAAATTTTCTGGTCCCTTAGAGTAACAGTATGTATTCTTAGTATTTAACTTTTTTGTATGTTTTTTGTTACCTTTATCAAAGTCAATGTAATGATTAAACATTTCTAGCTTTATACAGCCTCTACAGTTACAGATTTCAGTGCAGTTACAATTTTCTGGTTCTATTTGGGTTTTTATTACGGATAGGAAGCAACAAACAAAAAGCTGATCCCAAAAATATATATTACTTCAATTTAGGAATTCATACATAATGAGACTTAATACTGAAATACTTCTGTATTGATGTGCAGAACTGTGAAAAAGCAATTCTTAGGAAAATGAAGATGAATACACATCATTCTAATTTAAGGACTGGCACTGCTACAGAAAATGCTGTGGAAGAAGTCAATGTGACTTCCTGCGAAGCAGCTGAATCCGAAGTGGGATTCAGACCGCTCAGTCAGGAGGAGGACTGCATCTTCTGTCAGCATTTCATCAACCTTGGTACAGCTGGGAGGAAATGTGCTGATGGCTAGATTCCTGCAGTTCTGCTTTGTGGACAGCTGTGCGTTCACACACCATAAACCTGTTTGTGTCCTTACCTGCTCTGCAGTTAAATATTTCTGTCCTTGAAAGAACAAGATCTTTGGCAGGCAATCCAATATAAGAACATCCTTGCAAATCAGGATGTTAAGATCAGAGAACAGGCATCAAAATTGTTTGTTTTTTTTTCTTCAGTTTTGGTTTTATTTCATCTATAGTTTATTTAGTGATATTGAAGGAATTGCCTTCAAAAGGCCTTTTAATAAAGATGCATGATAGGGGACATTATTTACCACACAGAGGCTTTCTTTTTTGCTGTTCAGTTAATCTAAAGCCAGGAACGTGCTTTGCCTGTGTTACAACTCCAAGCCTATCAGCGGCTTTGTTTTTTTCCCTTTAACTGGAGAGTTGTTTTGTTTTAATTTGGAATTGCACCACATTTTGCCTGAGTAAGGAACAGCTTTTTCTTCAAAAAATAAAAGTATAGATTTATATTCATAATTACTATAGCTAGAGAATATGCTGTTGTCATATTAATGACTCTGAAAAATAAATTAGTTTTGAAGATGGTAACTGTTCTATTGTTCAGTGTTGTCAAATTCAGGCACAGAATTCTTTCTGTAACAGTCCTATCATTGATGATAAAAATCCATAAGCTATCTTTATTCTTATTGCTAGGATTGTTGTTGATTTTCATTTTTAGTAGGAGATTGTTTCACATCGCAATAGCTAAAATCATGTCCATAAAGAAGATCCTTCTGAGAGATTTCATCCAAGTATGACTTATTACCTGTAACAGTATTCCACATATTGTTATTTCCCAAAGATTTATGTAAGAGTTCTCTCATTCTCCTGTTTTCTTTGGATGTGGATTCCCAAATGACTTCAAGTTCACCTTCTACTTTTCTAGGAAGAAAAATGAATATAAATCTTAATCTTAAAACCACTTTTCAGCCGTATGCAATAATGGTATGCACATAAGCAAATTATACAGTGCATAAATTTAGATGTTTGAAATGTTCTGATTTGAAATTAAGTCTTATTTTGCTTTTAAAATCCTAGTAACTAACATCAGAGAGGACTGAGGTTAATTCAACACATAGAACAACACGCCTTTGAATCAGGCTGTTGTGACTGCAGTCCTGTTTCCTCAGCGGGTATGTTTCTGTAACGCATGCACCCCCTTTTCTGCCAGATATGATTTCTGTATCTTGTCTACCAGCTAAACAAGCCTGATCAAGCAACAGGTCAGTTCAGGCTCTGTGCTCAGCTAATACTTCTCTTTGTGGAGGCCAAAGAGAAATGGTGTCAACTTCTGGGTTTGTGTGCTGGTGGTGTATGGAAACAGATACATTTAGAGAGGGAGTGGTGTGTCTGAACTTTTCTTAGAAGATTAACTTCTGAACAAATCCAACAGATGCCGAATATGAAAGTGCTTGCTGATTTCACTTTGGAATAAGCTGTCAAAGCATGTCATTGTCAAAGAAACATATTGTGGATGCTCCTGACTTTGCACACAGTGTACTACAGTCATAAGTAAGACTTCAGCGGGGGGTAATACACAGCTTTTGACAGTTGTTTTTTCAGGTAAGCATCTAAGAAGCAACAGTTACAACACAACTGCAGTTGCACAACGGTAGGTTTTTGTTTCTGCATTTTTTGTTTTAAGAAAAAAGTGAAGTATTTTATAGTGAAGCTTGTCTGCTGTTGATAGTTATTTTTCTTTTCATTCTGCACATGGCAAATCTGTCACTTGTTAACAAAACAGTGAGGTACATTCAAAAAGAAACCTGACGTGTGTACTCATTAGATTGATTTTTATGCCAGCGTGAAAGCTGTTGTGGAGGGGGGATGGGTAAATGTTCAGCCTTTAGTAGAAGATGCTGTTAAATAATTAACACATCTTGATGATCTGCAGACCCCTAACTCATCAGAAACAAGACTCAGATTGCTATTTTTCATATCTATTTCAGATCTATTTGGATTGTTTCTGCCTCTGACTTACTTCTTTTGCTGCAGCACTTCATCAAGGGTTTCCTGTTTGTCTTGCAGCAGACGCTGGAGGTGCTTCATTTCTTGCTGGTACTGAGCAGTCTTCCCAGCAAAATCTTTCTCCTGCTCAGTCAATTTGAGACTGATATCTCCAAGCTTCCCAGCTGCTCTCTTTTTATAGAGCTGTAGAGTTAATAGGAAAAGTGTTATGATAGGAGAAATAAGTGCAATTTACTACCACCAAAAGGAAGTTGTGAGAGATTCATTTGCAGTTTAATCTTTTCATCAGTGATGCTTTTCTTTAAATCCATCAGGTATGTTGCATTACATTTTTTGTTGTTTTTTTTTTAACCTATTTGTTATGGCATTACGTTTGCACTTTGTTATGCATATAAAACCAGTGTGTTCTCTGAATACCAGACAGTATGGAAAAGCTTTTTCTCTCCGAGAGTGGTTAGGCACTGGAATGGCTGCCCAGGGAGGTGGTGGAGTTGCTGTCCGTGGCAGTGTTCAAGAGACATTTGGATGAGGAGCTACAAGCTATGGTCTAGTGGCTTGTGGTAGCAGTGGTAGGGGGAGGGCAGTTAGACTAGGTGATCTTGTAGGTCCTTTCCGACCTTGTGATTCTGTGATTCTGAGTGAAAAAAATCAGATGCAAAAAAACATGTTTGTGCAGATCTATACTTCACAGAACTCAAAATTGTAGAATGGTTTGGGTTGGAAGGAACCTTAAAGATCATTTAGTTACACCCCCTCCCCCCCCGCCACTAGATCAGGCCACTGAAAGCTAGGTGGTTCTTACCACTTGTGCAGCAATTACGTTTATCAGTGCGTTCTATGAAAAAGTGTGTGTTTTGTTCTCTAATTGTAACACCAGGAGGTAGGACAGAGTGCCTTAGTGATTTAAAATAATATTGCTGTTTCGCATAATAGTTTGTTCGGTTTGTTGAGGGCACGAATCATTTTATGCACAATAGCAGTAATAACCAAATATATGGGTCTAAGCTCAAAATAAAGACAAATACTTTTTCTGTGAAGTGATTTTGCTTTTTGAAATAACTTTTCCAATTGGTTGCATACTTATGTGAGGAACTGAAAAATACGGCATGCACGTATTGTTACATATTTCCATGGCACTTTTCACATGATAAAAAGAAATGTTTTCCAATATCAGCTTTTTTTTCTTGTGGTTGCAACACAGTGCTTTAAAGTGGTAGTATATCTACAGAATGTAGAAAGTTTGACATTCTCTAAGACCAGATTTTTGGGGTAGAAACACCTCCTTCAGTAAAACTGCAAAATATTTTGTGAAGCCTTGAAAATATTCCTATTTATGTCGTCTTAATATGAACTTTTATCATAGGCTTTAGCCACTAAGTTTTCATCTTCATCTGAATCAGAGCAAAAAAGTCTTAAGTATACCTTATGTGGAGAAGAATATTTAACTTGAGATTCCCGAAGAGAAATCTACAAAATACAGGATGATATGACTGCACGTTAAATAGAATGTGAGGTTAAAGGTAAATCTTTTCTTTCAGATTTATTTTGCTTGACATGCTTCAAAGCTGTGTCTGATAGGTAACACATGGGCTGCATTTGTCAGCTTTACTTGCCTGTTTATTATTTGCCAATTGCATTTGTGCCATATGTGCAAAAGACAAGAATGCACTACTTTTTGGTGTAACGATTAAAATACAATGCTAGGTGTGAAGGATACACTGTTCTAGAATTGCTTATAGCTAAATTGATTTGAAATGTATAAGCTGCCTCAGCAGAACTTCAGCAGGATGGCTAAAGAGGCCCAAGTTGGACCCCTGCTCATTTTGAGGGAGCCAGACCAAGTTGATGTGATGCTGGGAATGCTGATGTGTGAAACTGCAGGCACTCAACAGAACCTTCAGAGCAAGCTCCTGAATTATCCAGAACTGTCTCATTAATTTTCTCTCAAATAAAGCAGGCAGTAGTGTATGGAGATAACAATTTGCAGGAAGAGGGGATAACACAGCTGGAAGTGGTGATATTTTCTCTAGGGTTTAAAGAGTAGGCTGCCTGAGATCACAGCATCACAGGTATATAGCAAGCAGTGAAGATGAGCACTGATGTTGGATGTAGCAGCTGATACTGAAGGGGACATAACCTACACTCCTATAAAGAAGTCCTGAGAAGGTACGTTCTTGGCAGTCTAATTCTGTTATGTTTTGCATATTGAGTCATGTGGGAGCCATTTATATTATAGTACAGATCTTCTGTTACTTCTCTTCCTGGAGCTACAGTTTTAGACCACCATCTCAGTAACTGTGAATAGAATAAATACTTGGAGTTTATTTACAACAACTGTTGAATAAAACCATTTTTATCAATTACATACTGTTTGAAAAAAAAACCAACAGGTGTCACTGCAGGACAGTTCATGTTGCATATGATTATTTAGAAAAAAAAATGCAAAACCTGTACACTTGAGCTGCATCTTTTCTGATTACAAAGGGAAAAGGAGATAGCATAAATGTTCTGCTCCATAGTCAGACTTGTTAATGGTGTTCATTCAGTGACCTAGCTGACGCATGCAGTATTCAAGTACAATGTAAGAACTTAGTTGTGATGAATGATGACTGTGATTTCATTTTTTAAAAACTCAAAATCAGCATCTTTCATAACAACACTGACACAGAGTTGCTACTGACTTGACTTATCATAAAAATAGTTGTACAGAATGTTCAGGTTAGAAATTGTTTACCTTCACTTTTTCTTCCAACCTTCCTAAGCGTAGACTGCCTTCTACTATTTTGTTTAGAACTCCATGGTTCTCATTTTCCAAGCATTTGGCCTGCAAACATATTGTGTAGATATAATGAAATATAATCATTACTTAAGGCAAACAAAATATATAAGTTGAGGAAGACAAAGCTGTTCTGTTTTGAGTGTTAAGAACTAAGAATCAGTACACAAAAGAAACTTAACAACAAGAGGGTGACCAACTTCTTACACAGTCTAATAGTAACAGGACAAGGAGGAATAGCTTTAAACTTAAAGAAGATTTAGGTTAAATGTTAGGCAGGTATTTTTTCACTCAGTGTGGGCCATCCCTGAGATATTGTAAATAAAACAATGCATCTGTAATAAAATGCCAGCTAATAGACAAAGCCAAGCAAATAGACTAAATAGAAGTTGTTCCAGAACTCTCCACAAGTTTGTCAAAATAACTGTTCACTGAAAAGAAGCATTGATGTGTATTTGCATCCAAAGTAGAAGGTCCATACGTATCACTAATAACCACAGCTTACCATCCGAATCAGAAATGCTTACAAAGTACTTATGGTTTCATGCTATTCTTCAATATATGCCATTTCAGCATTTCAAGCCAGTATGTTAAATGAGATTAAATAACAGGCACTATTACAGACCCTAATGCTGCTGTGAATTAAGGCTTAATTACGCTACCGCAAGAAGCTAGGGTTCTAGTTCTAGCCACCCTTCTATAAAATTTTGTTTCTATCCTATTTCCTGTATCCATTTATGTAGCTAAATCAATCAACTGAAATTATCTATTTTCAGTAACTGAAATTAATATTAAGAATTGTGCTAGTAAGATGGTAACTGCAACATCAATCAAGTCAAATTAATGAAAGGTAATTACCAAAAAAATAAGATGATCGCGTTCCTGCGCTATCTTTTCCACCAAACTGATAAGGTTTGTCAGATAGTGATGGGCTGCAACTTCTTTTTCAATTGCTTCCTCCAACTGCTGTTTCAAAAGACCTATTTTCTTCTTTAATCGCCTATAAAATTAACAGGAGAATCTAAAGAGTGGGAATTACTAATGGCATTAAGAGAACTTGCATGTTAAGTGCAGGTGAACTTGCACTAGTCTCAAAACCAATCAGATGTGCTACTAAAGATGTGCTGTTTTGAAATGTTTTGAGTGCTGAAAGTATCACTGCCCATAACTTTGTTTTTATAATATGCCTGTGAATAGTAACTGTAACAATTATTCACAAGAACAATTCACAAGAACAAGCTCATAAAAAACCAATAATATTATTGCTACTTTTTAAAAGCCCGTTCTCCCTCTGAACCACTCAGGTATATGTGAAAGTCTACAGTTACTGGAATATCCTGCTTTTCAGGATATGCACATGTGATTAATCACTACAGCTAACTACCATCACTGAAGATTCATTCTTGATTTGCATGTAAAGACAAATGCAAGTGCAAATGTAAAAAGTTTAAAAAAGTTATTTAACAACCAAGCCAAATAAGTGTGGTGAAGATGTTTGGGGTTTTTTTTTTAGAGGTATAGTTGTTCTGTAATCAGAAAAAAGACACTGGGATGTGAGACGACATTTTTACAGATACTACTGCTGTGGTATTTTGAGAAATTTAAGTAGTGAGAAAATGGGAACATAATACAAAATGAAAAAAAGAGAAACCTGTTTGTTTTCTGTGTCATTTCCATCTCAGCTTCCAGGGTTGTCTTGTCAGCCAGGAAGTTATTTTTTTGTAAAAGTAGTTTCTTGTTTTGAGCTTGCAGTGATGCAATCTTCCCCATGAGATCTTCCACCTCAGAGCGCTTTTTCTCCTGCTCCTGCTGTAAATGGCTGCAGAAACAACCACGTAGAACAGGATTCTTGTGTACACCTACTTCAGTATAAAGTCAAATTATGGTAAGAGTATCGTGCTGAAGGTATGAAAAAGGTACATTAGTAATATTTGGTGTTCAGTGGTGCTAAAGAATGGTTTTACAATCTGATGACGTACCAGTTTGTGAATGAAGCATAACACAACCAAAAATGAATAAAAATGAAAATTCATCCTGGCTGCATTTGAAATAATTCTATAACTTATAAAACATATAGTCCAAAATGCATTTCCTGCATATTTTTTTCAAAGAAACTGTTAGGCAGAACTTCTAGGGAAGGGATCGTACCAAGAAACAATGAAATTACTATCCTCAGGTGAAAGAAAACAAATTTACAGAATGTCTTTAGAAAAGCATTACTTCCCAAAATACGTGTGACAGACATCTTGTTTTATCACTTTCATACCTTCAGGGTTGAGATTCACTTTCATAATTTTAATCGTCTATAAAAATCAAGACAGTATTTTGAAAATACTGACACTTATTCATGCGTAGAAATAACTACCAAAGTACAGAAAATTACCAGCACATTTCTACCTACAGAACAATGCATGCATATGAGGATGTGCTCACGTGAATGTTCTGTAGAACTGTTTCTTTTGCACCAAATGCAAACTCACCTTTTTAAGTCATTCACCAAAGCAAAGTGCTCCTCTGCTGCTATTCTGCTATCCAGTTTGGCTTTGAGCTCTTCACAAGTAGTATGTAGAGCTTTCAACTGCTTCTGGTAGTCTCTGATCTGTTCTTCTTGACTCTGTTTCTTCTCTTCTAAAATTATTATCTGTTTGGTCAATTTTGAAGCTTTTGGAAGGAAAAAAGCACAACTGGGTACAGCAGAATTAATTCAATCGCACAACTGGGTACAGCAGAATTAATTCAATCGCACAACTGGGTACAGCAGAATTAATTCAATCACTTAGAACTCAAACCAATAATACATTCATTCACTGTTCTTCATAGCATTATCTAACAGTGGATTTTTATGTTTTAACAGTTTGGTTTGTTTCTGTCCTAATTTGTCTAGATGTGCCAAATTTTTCCACAGCGAGGTAGGTAACTATAAGTAGGAGGAAAGTCAAACTTTGAAAGCAGAAAGGAAACTATTTCTGGAACTACATGTCAGATAAACAGAGAATTTCAGAATTGAAAATTGGCTATATAGATTCATTTCATAAAATGATTTTCATCGTAAACTTTATACTAACAACTGAATTACATGTTCTTCAGGACATCCTAACCTGTGAATTAAGATTCACAAAATTCGTACCTTCAGTCTTGCTTTTATTAATCATTACTAAGAAATGTTGCTCTCAGTACTAGGATTTTAAATGTAACATGCCAGACTTTTTTTCTCAATACTTTTTTTTTCTCAATACTCGAAATAACAGAATTCAGAATTCTATTATCAAAAATTATCAAGAGGAATTGGTTGATATAGAGCATAATTATTCAACTAAATACAAGCCTCTGATGAAACAATAAGTAACCAAACTGATTACAAAACAATTAGTAACCAAACTGATTACTACTTGACATGTACATATAAATCTAAGCCATATCAAACTATGAAAGTAAAATCACATGCTGCTACCTGTGACATAATCTACTATTATATCAGTAATAAAGATTGGTTTAGGAAGTAGAAAAATGAACCGATAAAGCCCACAGATTCTAAATTGAACATGAAAGCCTGTGAAGTTTTAAGGGCTCTTGAAATACACTTTACTGATTTCATTATTTTTTTTTTCAGTTCTGGTCACTCTTCTAGAAGAAGGAAGTCAAAACAGACTGTCCTGTATAGTAATCAGTAAGCGATAGCGGCATTCCTTTTTCCTGTCAGCTGACAGCCAGAGTCTGTCTTCGTAGTAGTGTTCTACGAGCATCTTATCAAGCTGAGGAAAAAAAAAAATCACAAACTGCAGTTGCTGTGACTAGAAACTCAAGCTCATACCTTCTTGAACATGTTGTCTGTGACTATCTTTTGCTTTAGCTTGTTGAATTTCAAGTTGCTCCATCAACAACCTATTTTCTTCCAAGACCAGTCTGGCCTGAGTTTGTAGCTGGTGCCTGCAAGAACAAGCAGTTTATAAAATGTCTGAAGTTTATGTCCAAAGGAGAAAACAACCGACTTCCAACAGTGTAAACTTAAAACTGTATTTGAATGCCCTTCAAAAATAAATGAAAAGCCTTCATCAAAAGCAATCTCAAGATGTAAGGTAAGCTCACCAAAGACACAAAATATCTTTGAAAATGTAATTTGAAGAAATTTTTTTACAAACTAAATAAAAAATTCACTGTAGAAGAAAGGAAAGATAGGTATATGTAAATTATAGTCAGAGTGGTTTAGGCTGGAAGAGACCTCTGTATGTCATCTGATCTAGTCCACTGCCAGTCTTAAAATCTGTAATCTTGTGCATTTGCATGGATCAAGCAAAACAATTAGTTATTTTTCATGTATTTCTCATAATAACTTGCCATTCTGTAGTGGTAATTAAGTTATTCGTATTTAATTGCTCATGCAGGTCTTCATTTTCCTTCACCAGCTCTTCGACTTGTACTTTAAAATTCTTCATATCCTCCTGGAAGATAAAGGATTTCAAATTAAAATATTTAGAGGTAAATATTTTGGTTTGATTTTTACATCAACAGAAGATGTATGTCTGAGTGCCTTCATAATTCCCACGTTAACAATGTTATCTGACTAGTCACTCATCTTGAACTCATGTACATATCTGAATTGAGATTTTTTTTTTGTCTGTTGTAATTTGAATTAAGCAAATTAAAATTGAAACATAGATTCAAGAACATGAATTCTGGAATCTACCAGATAACAGTATACGTTTCAGTATGAAATATGGCTCATTTTCTGGCTTCAGTTTTTGAAGAAAATAAATTATGCTGAATAACAGTTCTGCTCTGAAGCTCATGTAGTTCCTTGGATTTGGTTATATATGGTTTAAATGAGAAAAGATGAGTGCCTTGGTAATCTTTCTTTGCCTATTGATCACTGTTTGAAAAAAGATTCTCAAGAAACAATTTTTTTAATTTAAAGGCTTGGTGATAAAATACATTTATAAAGAGCAAAAACAGGCAGTACCTGATCCTTAAATAACTTGAAATAAAAATACTACTTCCACTAAATCCAAAGCCCAGCTAATTCAGGGCACTGGCATCCCCATTATGAATGGCAGCAATAAATTCTTCTACTGGCTGACTTTTTATGGTTTACTGAGAAACTGCAATTCCCATACATTGCAATATTGTGCCTCATTCTGTATCTGAACAACCTGACAAAAAAAGAACAAACCAAGCATTTTAAGGCAAAAATTACTATGTCTGCTGAAGAGAAGGTCACTTTTAATTTTAGGCAGAAAACAGCTTGGACAAATCCCTGAAAAACATAAGTAGATCTTTCTGCTTTATTTTAGAAGTATTTTTTCTTTGAATGATGACTTGCCTCATGTGCAAAATTTAAATCTTCCTTTTCTTTTATTCTGTCTTCATATGCCAACAGAAGAGGAGACAAATACTTCATATCCAGCTTAAGAAAAAAAGGTTTAAAAAAATCTCATAAATCAGATAGAAACTATAATCTCATCAGTAGATTTAATTTCTCATCCTAGTAGTTTTTCATTGCTAGTTTTAAATACTATTAAGGGCTTTCAGGTACCATTAATTGTGTGTATAATTGAAGGTGGAATAAATAGTTCAAGAGCTCCTTAAATTACAGAAAAGTAATTTAAATAAACTTGCACAAAGTCAAAATACCATTTCTTTCAAAGGGACCTGAAAGTGCTTTGTTCTTAGTGCGCTGAAATTCAATCTAGAAACCAAGTTTTTTTTTCTCATAGGAATGCATACTAAAAAAAAAATTCTGTCCATAAAGAAGAATTAGTCAGCTACTTATAACCTAGTCATTTCAACTTGGAAAATCCATCTTCACATGCTGCATATCACAGAAAGAATTGGTGAAGCTGGGAGGGACCTCTGGAGGTCACCTTGAGCAGCTTCCTTGCTCAGGCAGCCACACAGAGCACTGCCCAACACCAGTTCTTTGTCATTCTGACTAAGGAGGTATGGTTTAACTTTATCAATGAAATAAAGCATTTCATGGATTATTTGCCTACCACTTTTTACCAGTGGACCTGTGATAATTTCTATCATCTCTAAAATACGGTATTTCTAGTATTACTTAAAATCATCTCTGGAGAAGAATAACAATTCAGATTAATAATTAAGCAATAGACCTTGAAGCAAAGCGTACGACAGACAGTACTCAGTGAAGATGGTATTTACGTTTCTCACAGTAGCTGTTCTTGCATTGCTTTCATGAGTGCAAATTTGGTAACTGTATGCAACTTGTAGCTTATCATTAGTTCACCCAGAGATGCACATATTCATTGCAAATTTTTTGCATTGCATCTGTTTTCATGAAGCAAATGTTCATCAAATTCTACCATTATGCAACAGTTCAACAGCATCACTAAGTAATATCCTGAGAGTTTGAGTATTGTGATCCTAGTAAAGAAATTCTACTGCTTTACTTGAAAAGGAATGAGCAGATAAGCAAAAATATACTACTTACCAGCCATGGGGGTGGTGGTCCTTTAGTGGGTAAACTATTTAGTTTTAGATGCTAAAAAAGATATTTAAAAAGAAACAAATTATTTCTTGCTTTTTAAAGCACCAACATCAGTCACTGCAAAAGCATATGACTCGTAACTATTACCCCCAAACAAGCTTATGTTTCTAATGATGTGTGTTGCACATGTAATGCACACACAGCAGAACTGAAATTTCAGCATCTTACTAATGTGAGCTAACTTTTTAAAGTTAGATTTAAAGGTAAGAGCTTATTCTCAATTTTGAAAGGAAGCCTATTCCATGTGCAGACTGAAGTTATTTTATCTGGATTTACCCCCAAAAACTCAAAGGTGAATTAAAGCACAATTGGACATTTCCATACAGACTGCTGTTACAACTAACATTCTTACCTCTTCTCGGGTCAGTGGCCTGAATTTAGTTTGATAGCGACTTAACTCTACATTCAAACGATGGACTGTCAACTTCAAAGCATCATTTTCATCTACAAGTTCTTGTGCTTGTTGTCTCAGAGAAAGTAATTCTGTAGTGTCTCCTATTAAAAGAAATATGCTATCCATTTCAATCAAACTTCAAGAAATGTTAACATTGATTTGTTAATTTCAAGGAAAAAAATCTCAATAAGCCAGAACTACAAGAGAACATCTCCCGAAAGTGTTAGGGAGTAAACCTGTGAAAAACTACTAACACAAAGAACATGGAATAACATTCTCACGAGCCTCTAGTTATTCCTTGACAAAATTAATACAAAAAAATACTGTACAAAAAATCCTTCTGTAGAGCTACTTGCTCAAATTAGTAACACAAAAACCTGCTGCCCCAATAATGGGTTAAAAGGAATCAAGCAAGATCACTAGTAGTATGTCTCCCACCTTCATCATGTGTCGTCTTTGCAGCTTCTTTAAGTTTTCTGTTTTCTTCTTCTAATCTCTTCACTTTTAATTGCTGTTCTTCCATTTGCTGTTTTATTCCCTCGAGTTGTTGACCCACAGCCTGATATGCCTTGTTCAAAGACCAGTTTTCTTGTTGTAGTTCTCTGAGCTTTTCTCTAGTCTTATTTTCCCGTGCTTGCCTTGCACGAATAGAGACATCTGTAGATGCCAAAGTTCAATATATCTGAATTATATTAAGACTTCAGCACAGCAAATTTTAGCAAATTATAATCCACTTTTTCTATTATTGGCATGAGTGGTACTACATAAGATATATATATATATATATATATATATATATATATATATATATATATA